GTCTGGCCAGGTAGATTTGACAGGAGGCCCAAATTGAATGACTTCAAAGTCACCATATGTCCTTGCTGCACAGGACTCAGCAGGGGCATGATAGGGCTGAAGCCTGGCCTCTGCCTCACAGCATTTCCTGCAGCCTTCTTAAATACCATTTATGCCTAGTGTTCCATTATTGGAACTCTAAGCATGTAGGAGTTATTTATATGCTACTGCTCAAGGTTATCACCAAGGTCTGATTTTTCACACGTCTGCAATTCAAAAAAATTGCAGTCTCCTGCATAAGTGGGTTAACATACCTTTACCAGGCCCCTAAAGTTTAAGTGAAACTGAGATATTTGAGCCCCATAAGAACACCAGCTGGCACAGAGATCTGCACTCCTGGTGCCCTGATGGGAACCAGCCTGGCCCTGGCAGCAAAGAAAATGAGGTCCCAGCACATCGGCCAGCAAGCCTGCTCTACCCCAGGGGCCTCTAGCGCCTCTTCCCACCTAAGGCTCGTTCCTCCGTGGGTCTTAGGGGCTCCTGCAATTTCCTCTCCCTCTGAGGTCTTCCTCATATTAAAGATCATCTTCCCTCTACCTGGCTCCCCAGGAAGCCCAGAAAGTCTCCCCAGGTCCAGCCTTCCTCGTAGCCCACAAAGCAAATGTCTTAGGGAAAAAGAAGAGAAGAGAAGAAGGAAAGGAAGGAAGAGAGAAAGGGGGAAGTGAGGAGAGGGGAAGGGAGGAAAGGAAGAAAGGAGAGGAGAATAGGGTGACAGAGCGGGAGTAAAGAGGAGAAAGGAGCTGCTAAGCAGCTAGAGGGAGATTACGCCTTGTTTTCCCAGCCAGCACTTTCTGGTCACTCTATTTATTTATTTATTTATTTAGCGGCAAGTTCTTGATCTCTCCCCTAGGCTGGAGTGCAGTGGCGCAATCACGGCTCACTGCAGCCTCGACCTCCAGAGCTCAAGCCATCCACCCGCCCCAACCTCCCAGGTATAGCTGGGACTAGGTACACACCACCACACATAGCTAATTTTTTTATTTTTGTTTGTTTATTTGTTTAGGGATGGGGTCTCGCTATGAAGTCCAAGCTGGTCTGAAACCTGGGCTCAAGCAACCCTCCCACCTCAGTTCTCCAAAGCACCGGGATTACAGGTATGAGCCACCACACCAGCCTCTTATCACTTGATTCCCACCAAATTCTGTTTGAGTGAACACGAAGGGGGTAAAGTATTTCAGAAATCCCAGTTTACTGTATGTTTTCATTGAACACCAGAGAAAGAAAAAGAAGCCCATTAATTTTATGATGTTTTCTAGGGTGTACGGGGAAAGGAAGAAGAAATATTCTCGGTATCTTGCCTTTTTTTTTTTTTTAAAGGTCTTTGCAGTTTCCTGTTAATTTAATACCAGAAGCTTTGCTGTGTAAATAACACAGATAAAGATAAACTTTACTGGCCCTGGACTCCAACCTTTGTCTAACATTCCACCCCACTCTGATCCATCCCCCATCCCACCCATAGAAATTCGTAATTTGTTGTGGAGATTTAGAGGCTGAGAAAAAATAGCTCAGAAGGCAGAGCATGTTGGTTTCAGACAAGCCTTGTAAGAATGTGCTAAAAATCCCAGAACATCTGATAGTTTTTCTCAAGAACTTATCTTTCTCTCCTCCACAGAGATGACGTAGATGGGGTCAATTCCCTTTCTAGTCATCTTGTAGGTCTCACCCGGGCTCTGCCACCCACACTCCCAGTTCATTAAACCCACTTAGGCTGCACTTTGCTGGCGTGATCCTTCACTGTTATTTAGACAAGTAATTTAATCCTTCTTACTTGCTATTATTGAGCACTCTACTTTTCTCTCTTTTTTTTTTTTTCATTTTTTGAGATAGTCTCACTCTCTTGCCCAGGCTGGAGTGCAGTGGTGCGATCTCAGCTCACTGCAATCTCTGCCTCCCAGGTTCAAGCAATTCTCCTGCCTCAGCCTTTCAAGTAGCTGGGATTACAGGCATGCACCACCAGGCCAGGCTAATTTTTGTATTTTTAGTAGATATGGGATTTTGCTATTTTGTCCAGGCTGGTCTCGAACTCCTGACTTCAGGTGATCTGCCTGCCTCGGCCTCCCAAAGGGCTGGGATTACAGGCATGAATCACTGTACCCAGCCAGATTTAGTTTCCTTTTTGATGGGGCACTTCTTCCTCTAATAGAGTTTTCAAAGAGGGGCTATATGTGATATACCTTCTGATTATATACCTGATAATTTAGTTAGAAATCCAAATCTAGGGTCAAAGTTAATTTTCTTTGATACTTTAAACCAATTTTTCCATTTTTTCTTAAACCCAATGTTGCTGGGAAGAAATCTGAAGTCAACCTGATTGTTCTTCCTTCCTCCATCCTTCTATTATCCAGCTGCTGGGGATACAGATGTGATGGCTGGAGCTTTAGCTGCCAACTTGGATTATGAAGATGTCAGAGGGCAATAGTGACCTGGTGTGAAATCTGAGTCCTCAAAGACCTAGTAAAACAGAACTATTATACTATTTTGGCCATAAGCTGTCCATCTCCAAACTTCTACAAGAGAGAAAAAGAATTTTTTTTTTTTTTTTTGAGACGGAGTTTCGCTCTTGTTACCCAGGCTGGAGTGCAATGGCGCGATCTTGGCTCACAGCAACCTCCACCTCCTGGGTTCAGGCAATTCTCCTGCCTCAGCTTCCTGAGTAGCTGGGATTACAGGCATGCACCACCATACCCAGCTAATTTTTTGTATTTTTAGTAGAGATGGGTTTCACCATGTTGACCAGGATGGTCTCGATCTCTCATGATCCACCCGCCTCGGCCTCCCAAAGTGCTGGGATTACAGGCTTGAGCCACCGCGCCCGGCCAGAAATTTTTATTGTTATTAGTGGAGTCTGTGTTATTAAGAAATGAATCTTAATTCATATAGCCATTAAATCTGCTTTGTTTTATACTTTCCAGAAGTACATGTATTTCCAGAGACAGAGTTTCACTCTTATTGCCCAGGCTGGAGTACAATGGCACGATCTCAGGTCACCACAACCTCTGCCTCCTAGGTTCAAGCGATTCTCCAGCCTCAGCCTCCGAAGCAGCTAGGACTACAGGCATGTGCCACCACGCCCGACTAATTTTGTATTTTTAGTAGAGACAGGGTTTCTCCATATTGGTCAGGCTGGTCTTGAACTCCCGACCTCAGGTGATCCATCTGCCTCGGCCTCCCAAAGTGCTGGGATTACAGGGGTGAGCCACCACGCACAGCCCCAGAAATCTAATTAATTTTTTTCCCCCAGTGAATTCATGTTTCCCTAGATATCAGCTACCTTGGCTGGCAATGGGTATACCTGGAAGAGACTAAAACCTAAATTCTCCTCATATCCCACCTGGGAGCTTAAGGAATGCGGGTGTGAGAGGACTTGCCTCTGGCATCAAATATGAATGTGGCCACTCCCCATGTGCCACCCTCACACGCAGCAGACACCCTGCTCAGGGAACTTCTGGACACTCTCCCCTGGCCAATGCCCTTTTCATGAGCTGGGTCTTGTGGTTGGAATTCCAGACCCATGATGTGGGAAGAAGAGGCTGCCAGGTCTGCTTGTTCTGTGCTGCCAGCCCCAGCCTGATATCGCCATCCCTGGCTAGCAGAGCTGTTTTCTGCTGTCCAGCGCCATGGCAGTGGTGGGGGGTGGAGACGGGGTTGAGAAATAATGTTGCGAGGCCAATGCGGGCAAAGAAACAAGCACAAGTGTATGGAGTTCACTCAGCCTATCCCCCTCCCACGGCACTGAGGGGCGGAGGGAAGGGGCCTCCCCAGGGTTTACACTGGTTTCTCAGAGTCCTTACCAACTCCCCTCTTGCTTCTTGCTTTAGGGTACTATTCACAGGAAGACGTCAGCTCTTTAAGTACATTATCATCTCATCACTTTCTGCTTTAATTTTACTTTTCATTAAAAATTACGTGTGATATAAAACTCAGTTCTCCGGTTGCATTCGCCAGATTTCAAGTACTCAGTAATAGTGACATATAGTGCAAATAATAGAAAACATTTCTTCTACTGCATCATCAGGGAAAAAAAAAAAGAAAACATTTCCATCATCACAGGATGTTCTATTGGACAGGACTGACCTAGACCCTTGGAAGGAAGGGAAATGCATTCCTGCTTCTGACCTGGCCCCTTCTCCGCCCCCCCACCCCACCCCACCCCCAACCCCACGCAGATCAGAGCACCATCCTGCCTCTGGCCCCCTAGACTTTCTGCTTTACCGGAACAGCCTGGGTTTCACCCCCAGCGCCTACGGCAGTACAATAAGTGTTTGTGGAAATAATGGACCCTCGGTCCGTTTTTGCTAAATGTTGAAGCCCAAAAGGAAAGTTGGGTGGCAGAAGTAACCCCTGCGCCGCCGCCTCTGGGGCTGAAGTGATTCTCCTGCCTCAGTCTCCCGCACACGCCACCACGCCCAGCTAATTTTTGTATTCTTAGTAAAGACGGGTTTTCACCATGTTGGCCAGGGTAGTCTCGATCTCCTGACCTCGTGATCCGCCCGCCTCGGCCTCCCAGAGTGCTGGGATTACAGGCGTGAGCCACCGCCCCCGGCCGCGGGTTCTCTTTTATCTCACCTTCCTACCTGCTTACCTGCGCCCTCTGCTCCTACCCCCTACCTCCCACCCCACCTCCGAAAAACCCCAAACGGTGCGGGACTCTGCTCCAAGTCTCCAAACAATCTTATCTAGTGAGGAGATAATTTTCTGTCTTCCCACCCTCGGCTGCCCAGCGCCTATACCTAATAGGTGCTCAGTAAGTATGTGTGGGATGGATGGATGAAGGAAGGAAGGAATGACTCTTCGTTTCCCCACTCTGCACAGGGACTTCGGGAGGAGCCACCCTTGGAGGGCTGGGGAGAAAGCCCCCTTCTTCCACCCGAGCCCGAGGTACGGGGTTCGCCCAGGAGAGCGTGCACACAAAGCCCCCGCCCGGGGGTCTGGCCGAGCTCGGCCCTCGGGGGCGTGTCCTGCGGGCCGGGGCGCCGCCGCCCGAAGAGGCGGGCAGCGGGTGCGTCCGGGAGGCGGCAGCGGCCGCAGACGGCGGGTGGCGGCCAGCATGGAGCGCGAGCTGGAAGCGCTGGCGGCCCGGCCCACGCGCCTGGCGGAGCCTCCCTTCCAGGCGCTGGTGGAGGCGGCTGGGGGCCGCGGGCAGGTGCTGCTGGTGGGCGAGCTGTGGGAGCGCGAGCAGAGCCGCGCTTTGCTGCTGGACTTCGCCCGGGCTGTGTTCCCTCCGGAGCCAGGCGCTGGCAAGCCGAGCGGCGCGGCGGCGGACGGCACGGGACCACTGGGGGCGCGCGGGGCGCAGAGGGCGGCGGGGGCGCGCGCCATCTGCTCGCCGCTGGTCTTCGTGCTTTGCCGCGCATCGTCGCTGGCCGCCCGGGAGCCGCGGCGCCGCCTGCGGGAGATGCTGCGGGACGTGCGCGGCCGGCGGCGGGCCGGGGCAGCGCTGGTGGGGGTGCTGGTGGCCGAGGCCGAGCCCGAGGACGGGGTGGCGCTGGGGCTGCGACTGCTGGAGGCGCTGCTGCGCGCGGTGTTCGGCCGCCAGGCTGGGGGCCCGGTGCAGGCGGCCGCCTACTGCCCCGGCCGCCCGGCCTCCTGTCTGGCCGTCCAGGCGGCCGCCTGCCGGGCCCTGCAAGCTGCCGGAGCCGGGCGACCAGGTGAGGCTGCGCGGGGCTCGGCGGGGCGCGGGCGGGCGGTGACGTGGGCACGTCCCCCAAGTTGGATCCCTTTAGGCCGGCCCTCCTCGTTGAGCACAGAGGTAAACTGAGGCTCAGAGCAGGGAGGTCCCTAGAGCCAGGCCTCCCAGCTAGCGGAGAGCGGGCCCTGGGCAGGAGGTCGAGTCTGTCCCGGGAGGGTCCGGAGTGCGCGGGAGATGGCTACGGGCCTTGGGAAAGCTGAGGGGGCGTGCAGGAGGCAGCGGGAGCGGGTAGAGTGAAGGGATGAATCGGGCAGGGCAGAGAACTATGAATTGGGGGGTGGGTGGAGATGGGGAGAGGTGAGAGGGGTGAGGAAGGAAATTGGAAAGCGTTGGGATGAGAAAGTTTCAAGGGGGTGGATGGGGACTAAGGAGATTATTGGCGGTGCCAGGAGCTAAATTCTAGGGCGCTGCGCAGCTAGAGATGCGTCGGGAGCTTTCAGAAGGGCGGAGGGGCATCTCCAGCGCGGTGGAGGCTCGCCCTGGGAGACCTGCCTGGTTATAGGAAGAAGGGAAGGAATGGGTGCTCAGGACTTGGAGTGTGGGGGAGGTGACAGGGACTGAGAGCACAATATTTTCCAGTGATTTCTGGCCACCCACCAAGGCTGTGCACCCAACTGCTGTGTCTTTCTGCCTCGCCCAGATCTGCTGAGGCCACCTTTGCCCTCCACATTCTCCTAAAATGTGGAAGGGGTTTAAGGGTCTTTTCCTAGCCCCCGTGACTGCTGCTTTCAGCAAAAGGGTCAGGATCTCCTTCCTCCTGGAACGCAAGGCTTTACAGGAACTCTCCAGTGTTCTAGGATGAAAATAGGCACATTAAGAGTAGCTGCTTCTGGCAAACCCGGGAGATACTGGCACTCTCCAGCTCCCAGCTTTCTCTCTGCCTTCTCCCTACCCAGCTCGGCAGCTCTTCAAGCCCTCCAGCCCCTTCCTCTTAAGTAGATAATGAAGAGAGTGGCTGTGTTGTGTCTCCTGGGGTATTGGGGTTGTGTCTCCCAGGCAAGGGGGGGGGTCCCAGCAAGGAGACCTGGAACCTGTGAAGCTACCAATGTCACATTCACCTGCCAGCCTGGCCTGCCTGGGCAAGTGCGCCTGCCCTAACCCTCCTCCTTCAGATCACAATCCCTTTTTTTAGGGATTGTTCTGATTGTTGTGATTGTTGTTTCAACCCTTTTGCTGACCTGGCCTCCTAGGGAAAAGATGGGAATTCACACACATTTTCTATACCCTAGTGAGTCTTTTTTTTTTTTTTTTGAGACAGAGTCTAGCTTCGTCCGTCGCCTGTGAGTGGCAATAGCTTGATCTTGGCTCACTGCAACCTCCGCCTCCTGCGTTTAAGCGATTATCCCATCTCAGCCTTCCAAGTAGCTGGGACTACAGGCACCTGCCACCATGCCTGGTCAATTTTTGTGTTTTTAGTAGAGATGGGGTTTTGCCACGTTGACCAGACCAGTCTCGAACTCCTGACCTCTAGTGATCCACCCACTTTGACCTCTCAAAGTGCTGGGATTACAGGCGTGAACTACTACACCTGGTCCCTCCTAAGCTTTTTGTAGACACCTTGCTGTTGCCTCAACCTAAAGAGCCTTTCTCCTCCCTTCTTCTCACCTGGCCAATCCCATTTGTGCATTCAGAACTGGACTTCTTCCTCCAGGAAGACTTCCTTGACCTTCCCTGCTCCCATTTGCAAGTTCACTGGCGAAATTCCAGAACCCTTTATCCCTTTGCTCTCTGAGCTCTTACCACGTGATTTGGTTCCCTTGTGAACATGATTTTGTTCCTTTGTGGGTTTAAACACCATCGCAGTCCTATTTCCTGATACCCTGCCTGGCATACAGAAAGAGTGAATGAATCCTTGCTTCTTTTTAAACAAACACTAACACTTTTGAGATTTTAACACTTTGCAAGGGAATTATTCCCTACTATGTTAAGCTCTTTCCTACTTTTATAAAAAACAGACCACACAAAATTAAACTGCTCACAGATGACTAGAGGTCAGGAGTAGAATTAGAACTCGGAGCCCACTGATTTTTTTGCAGTAGGCAGCCCTATTATCGTCACACCAGATGATTCATGTTGCTAAGATTTCACTAGTGGTTGCATTTGTTTTTGTTGTTGTTGTTTTGCTTTTTAAGTTTTCCGATGTCTTTCCTCACTGACGATAATTCTGATTCTAGGTTGCTTGCCCTTTGGCAGTGCCCTTTTACCCAGTTTGTGGTACCTAATCCGGCTGCCTTTGGGCTGAAAAACTAAGGATACAGTCTCATTACATTTGGGTACAAGTTAAGAGTAAATAGGTCCCGAATAAAGATTATAACAAGGATTTTCCTTGTTTTGGCTGCCTGAAGTCTTTTTAAAAAATTAAAAAATAAAATAAATAATCTAGTTCCTGTTGAAAAATCTATCTATTCCTGCCAAGAAATAGTTTGAACTAAAATCAGAGGGAATGTGCAGCTCTTTGAGTATTTTCTTTGGTGCTATGTAATCTTAATTAATTTCATGTCATTTTCATTGCTTTAGTTTCCCCAACCTGGTACCTACATCACAGGGTTTTCGTGAGAATTAAATGATATAACAGAGATAAAGTAAAGCAATCCTTTTTAAAGTTCTTTTGTAAAGTACAAAAACTCACTTATTTTTGCAAATCAGAATCTTTGTGTTTTTAATCAGACAGTTGAAACGAGGGCAGTTGACAGTTGAGGCTCTCGGTTTGCTAAACAAAATCTCTCAGTCTTGTGAAGTGGGAACCATGTGACCCTCTGACTTGGGTTTTGTGTTTTTTCTAGTGGAAGAAGCCTGGGAGAGGCCAGGCCTCCCAGGACTGCTGGCCTGCTTTTCCTGTGGTCCCTGGAGCCGGAGAAAGGACCGGGGAGTCACTGCCTGCAGAAGCCCAGCTCAGGGTGAGTACTCCCCGACCTCCTGCACCCTGAGGACCAGGTGCGTGGAATTATGGGAGTGGTCACAAGAACTTGGGACCTTATGGACAGAGTGGACCAATGTCTGTGGAGTGCTTGCCATGTGCTAGTTGTGGGGGGTGAGCAATGTGAGGTGCCCACATGCCAGGCAGTGGGCACATGTGCTCAGTCAGGCTGGGCTCTTTCCCCAGGAGTCTCCACCTAATGAAGGGGTCGTGGGGAGGGCTGTAACAAAGGTTTCGCCAGGTGCATGGGACCAAACATGGTGAGTTGCCCCTGAGGACCCAGGGAATATCCTGGAGCAAGTGACATTTGAGCTGGGGATGGAGGGATTTTCATAGGCAGAAATGGGAAGGTTTGGAAAAGGAGCACTGAGCTAAGGAGTGACAGGATGATGTCATGCTCAGAAAAGGGACTACTACCATGGAGAGACCCCGGGAGTGAGGTGCAGAATGAAACCAGTAAGGGCCAAGGCTGAAGGGAAGAGTTCGGACCAAATCAGGGTCCCAGATGTGCACCCTTCGGGAGTAGTGTGCCACGAGCAATTTTTGAGCAGAGAGACTGGGGTGTGTGTAGAGAGTGGACCCTAGGAGAGGGAGACACCTTCGGTAGAGCCCAGCTAGGGGGAGGCTGCATTGTCCCAGGAGGGGTAACAGGCCATCTGGGAGAACTCACCTGGGAGCCACCTCTAGGTGGAATCATCAGGCCACTAAATGGAAGCAAGGGTGAAGGGAAAGACACTCCCAAATGTCCATGCTGATGTTAGGGAGATAGGAAGTACACTGATTCTACCCCTTATCCACGTGAGATGCTTTAAGACACCCATGGATCCCCAAAACCATGGGTAGTACCAAGCCCTATGTATACACTGTGTTTTTTCCTCTACATACATACCTATGGTAAAGTTTAATTTCTAAACTAGGCACAGTTAAGACATTTAACAATATATAATAAAAGTTAGGTGAATGCAGTCTCTCTCTCTCTCTCTCTCTCTCTCTCTCTCTCTCTCTCTCTCTCTCTCTCTCTCTCTGAAAATATCTTATTTTACTGTACTGCAGGTAACTGAAACGGTAGTGACCCCATGGATGGGGGTGGCTATGGTACTCAGGAGCATGGTATAGCTGCTGAATAGACATATCCCATCCCAAAGTGCACTGAGAATTATAGCTTTGTTACAGAAACAGTGAACGGTGGTTCAAAATAAACTTGTATTGTGTCTTCTATTTAAGAAAGAAAACCATTAGTTGATGTATCAGTCCTCATTGCTGCATAAGAAATGATTGCAAGTGCCCAGGTGTGGTGGCTCATGTCTTTAATCCCAGCACTTTGGGAGGCCGAGGCAGGCGGACCTGAGGTCAGGAGTTCGAGACCAGCCTGGACAATATGGTGAAACCCCAGCTCTACTAAAAAATACAAAAATTATCTGGGCACAGGAGCAGGTGCCTGTAATTCCAGCTGGTCGGAAGGCTGAGGCAGGAGAATCGCTTGAACCGGGGAAAAGGTTGCAGTGAGCCAAGATTGCACCATTGCACTGCAGCCTGGGAGACAGAGCAAGACTCTCTCAAAAAAATAAAATAATAAATAAATGATCGGAAGCTTAGCAGCTTTGAAGGCATCGATTAGGTCTCTGACTTCTTGCTGGCTGTCAGCTGGGGCTGTTCTCAGCTTCAAGAGGCTCCCACTGTTTGTTGCTCTCACAGCCCTCTCACAAGAGATCCTTCAACCAGCAGGAGAGCCCCCCTCCAGTCTGCTAGGAGGGAGTCCGCATAACCTAAGGAGATTGAGGAAGTCTCTAGCCATTGCCTTTGTCAGAGGCACCCTATTCCCCAGGTGACTAAGCTGTCACATTCACAGAGCCCATCCAGACTCAAGGAAGGGCTTTATAAGGGGCCAGAATCTTGGGGGCTCCCTTAGAATTCTGCCTTTCATGTTTGAAAGCTCAAAAAAATACAAAAAAAAAAAAAAAGGAAAACAAATGGGAAACATCATTCAGTTAATTCCGTCATCCAGAGATAAGTACAATCATATTTTGGAGTACACTGTTCTGTGTACCCATCTCTCCTTGTGCTATTTAAAATTTAACTCACTTCTATATCATCTGCAAAATGCGGCAGATATTTAAAATGTTTAATTGCAAAAATGCTAACTTCAACCTTTCTGCCATTAGTTTGGACATACTTGAAAACTAAAGGAGAAAAAATAAAGCAACAGAATCATTAACCGTTTTATATGAATCTTGGATAATTTCTCTCTCTATGGTACATACAAATCTCATGTAGAAGCGAATGTATTAAAATGCAAAATACACACATTGATGGCATAAGTAATAAATACAGGATAGCATAATTACATGCATTTATATAATCATAAGTTGCTTGATGACAGGGACGCAGTCTGAAAAATACATCTGTAGGTGATTTTGTTGTGTGAACACAATAGGGTGTACTTACATAAACCTGGATGGTATGACCTACCACACCCCCAGGCGATACGGCATGGCCTATTGCTCCCAGGCTTACAAACCTGTACAGCAGGTTACTGTACTGAATATTATGGGCAGCTGTAACACAATGGTAAGTAGCTGTCTGTCTCAATATATCTAAACATAGTAGGGGTGCAGTAAAAAAAATACGTTATAAAAGGTTAAAAATGGTACATCTGCTTAGGGCACTTACTGTGAATGAAGCTTGCAAGGCTGGAAGTGCTCTGGCTGAGGCAGTGAGTGAGTACTCCGTGCTCTAGACTTCATAAACACAGTGCGCTTAGTACACTGCCTTTATTTAAAACATTTCTTTCTTCATTAATAATCAGCCTTTGCTTACTGTAACTTTTTTACTTTATGAATCTTTTTATTTTTTAGCCGGGCGTGACGGTGCATGCCTGTAGTCCCGGCTACTCCGGAGGCCCAGGCAGGAGGATCGCTTGGGCCCAGTGACCTGCCATCCTGCCATTGCCCTGCAGCCTGCACAGCATAGTGAGACTCTATCTCAAAAAAAAATAACCTTTTCAAATTTTAAAAACTTTTTTACTCTTTTGGAATAACACTTGGCTTAAAACACAGAACATTGTAGAGATGTACAAAAATATTTTCTTTCTTTATATTCTTATTCTATAATCTTTATTTTATTTGTTAATATTATTATTATTTTGCTAAAAACTAAGACATAAGCATTCACCTTAGCCTACAGCTACACGAGGTCATCAATATCACTGTCTTCCGCCTCCACGTCTTGTCCCACTGGAAGGTCTTCAGGGACAATAACATACATGGAGCTGTCACCTCCTATGATAAACAATGCCTTCTTCTGGACACCTCTTTAAGGACCTGCCTGTGGCTGTTTTGTATCAACTTTATGTATATATACAGATGCACTTGTGTGTGTGTGTGTGTGTGTGTGTGTACATATACATATATGTGTGTATATATATGTAAGTAGAGGGAGTACACTCTAAAAAATGTTAAAACATATAGCAGGCCAAGGCTGGCGAATCACCTCAAGTCAGGACTTTGAGACCAGCCTGGTGAACATGGTGAAAACCCATCTCTACTAAAAATACAAAAATTAGCCAGGGTGGTAGACATGCCTGTAATCTCAGCTACTCACGAGGCTGAGGCAGGAGAGTCGCTTGAACTCGGGAGGCAGAGGTTGCAGTGAGCCAAGATTGTGCTGATGTACTCTAGCCTGGGCAACAGAGTGAGACTCCATCTCTCAAAAATATAACAGAGTCATTCTGATTAGTATCAAATATTGTCTGCTGTATGTAATTATATGTACTAGACTTTCATATGACTGGCAGCGGGTGGGTTTGGTTCCACCAGCATTGCCACAAACACGTGAGTAATGCATCGCACTGCAACATCCGGACAAGGTCACTAGGTAAGAGGAATTTTCAGCTGTGTCTCAACCTTATGGAACCACTCTCTTATTAAGGTTTGTAAATGACCAAAATGTTGTTATGTTGCACATGACTCTACTTACTGTTTTGGAGTCCGCTCTCTTCATCAATAACATACTCTGACTGCCTTCCACAGCAATAATTGTATGTTAACAACATTTTTTCTTTTTTCTTTTTTGAGGTAATTCTAGATTAACATGCAGTGGTAAGAAATCATACAGAAATCCCAGCACTTTGGGAGGCCGAGGCAGGAGGACAGCTTGAGCTGGTCGCAGGAGTTTGAGACCAGCCTGAGTGACATAGTGAGACCCTGTCTCAAAACACAAAAAAGGAGATCACACAGAGAGCTCCTGTGTACCCTTTGCCCAGTTTCCCCCAATGGTAACATTTTGTAAAACACAAACAGGATATTGACATTGATGCAACCCACAGATCTTAATTCAGATTTCCCCAATTTTACCTTTTACTCTGTGTGTGTGTGTGCCTGTGTGTGTATGTAATTTTTAGGTATCATCTTTAATGCCTGAATTTCATTACATGTGTGAGCCATAGTTTACTCAACCAGTCCCATTGTTTGACATTGAATCAGGACACTTTCAACTGCAAGTGAAGATACCATGACTCACACTCACACAAGCAGTAAGAGAAATCATTATCTCACCTGAAAGACAGTCCAGAGGTGGAGCTGGCTTCAGAGTTGGTTGATTCAGGGGCTCAGGGACCCCACCAAGCACCCAGGCTTGCTCCCTCTGTTGGGCCTTCTTCAGTGTTAGTTTCATGCCTAGGCTGGTAGCAAGATAGCTCCAGCAGTGCCACTAATTATTCCTCATTATTTTCTTAGGATAAAATCCTAGAAGTGAAAGTTGTGGGTCAAAGGGTATGTAAGGTTTTTGATGTGTATTTTGTTTTTCAAGTAGATATTTACTGGGGTCAACTTTCTCTTTTTCCTTCCTAGATAACTCACTCAAGCTTTCTCTTCTGATTCAGTCATTTCTTCTCCTCTTATTCCAGATAACTTCCAGGAACCTGAGGAGCAGCTGGCACTAACAGCCATGTTTCCCAATGGAGTCTGTGAGGACCTTGGAAGGGGGTCAAAAGCCTCTGATGGGGTTGTCCACACTTCTGCTGAGCCCAGTGGAGACGCGAGATGAAGGCTGTCCCCTTGCGCTGTCCCTGGCTTTAACCTACAGATTGGGGCCTGGCTCCTTCTCACTGGCCCCCAGGTCTCCATGGGGACTCGGAAGCCCCCGCCTGCTGGAGGCCTGCCAGCCACACTCGCAGTTACCAGCTAAACAATGGGGCTCACTAAGACAAACAGGACCTAAAACAGTGTCTCCCTGGAAACCTACTACCTACCCAGCATTTGCTAAGTCTGATCACAGGGAGGTGATTTTGTCTCTCTGGCTCAGTTTTTCTGAGCCACTGGGACAGATGGCTCTCTGCTTTGAGGCTCTGCAGTGCTGTGGCATCCCACGGGGCATTTGCAGTGTTCTGGGCACATGCATGGGTACCCATCATCGAGAGTGCAGCTAGGAAGAACTTTGGAGCAGAAGTCATCAGAACTGAGGTGTGACTTTGCATATGTCACTCAATCTCTGTCACAATGCATGAGGGGGTTTTCAACCAGGGGCAGGTTGTCCCTCCAGGCAGCATTGGAAATGTGTATGTATTGAGGGGGTCACAGTGACTGTGGGGGCACCCCTGGCATCTGGTGGGCATCTCACAATGTGCAGAACAGTCTCCAATAGCAAAGAATTAATTGGTCCATTCGATGCCAATCATAGAACCTTTGAGATATTCTGGCCGAGCCAATCCCTTCTCTGTGTCAGAGCTCCCCAGAGCAGAGAGGGTCAGGCTTCCCCGGACCTTGGCTCCCAGAGCAAGCCAGAATAAAGACCACACCATTGCCTTGGGGGCTTGTCCGGCCAGGGCCAAGACAGTCTGCATGCTGCAGGCCCAGGACAGAAATAGCCACGCATGCCTGTGAGAAGAAAGAGCCTCTTTTTTCCCACGTTGACGTTGACTCTCTGTGCCAAGTCCTTTGGGCATAAGGATGCTTAGGGAATTCCTATAGGTACCGAACAGAAGGAAAGCTAGTGGCTTGGACTCTTGGGTATAGGACTCGCTCTAGCTCTCAGGTCCTAGCCCGAGCTCAGTGCAAACACAGCCCAGAGGTTCTAGAATCCCTTCCTCTGTGTCTGTGAGTCTGACAAAATTGATGATGTTCCCTTAGAGCCGGGGAAGCCGCGTGTTTACTCACAGAGGGAACTCACCATCACCTCCCTCATCTTTTTTGCCTGCCCTTGGAGAATTCCAGAGTCTTTGGAATGGCAAAGGCACCTCTTGGATTTCCCTAGAGGGGAGGCGCTAGCTGAGGGAACAGCCACTTCATTCATGCAGCACAGTTTACTCAGCGGACACACAGCTGTGCCTACCATTTGCTCAGTGCCCTGAAAGGTGCTGCCTAACTTTGATGCATTATTTCAGCTCTCTCCACGATGGTGCCAAATGGTGCAATGGGAAACCTGTTTTGACTGGGGGCTCTACGATACTAAGGAGGGGCCCTCGCTGCTCTGTGCCTCAGTCGATTTTCCATAATGAGGAATTTAACCCTATTCTTTCCCTGCCTGTAAAGGATGGTGTGAGGACGAGCAGGACAGCATCTTATTTGGGGTTTTTGGCGGCAGGCCTCATTTTAGTCCTGCGGGCCGCCTGCCCTTGGACCCACCCAGCTGCTTCCTTAGAGTCAAGAATGAGGTCAATGAATTGTGATTCACTGATTTTATTGATTTTGTTTTAAAACAGGGAGATTGGTTTTTTTGAAGCTGCTATAATTTTCTATTTCTTTATTAATTTCTTTGTAATCCTCCGGTTAAAGTTTTCTTATTTGGTGGGAGGGAGCTTGTTTAAAGTTTGGAATTTGTCTAGGGCAGAAGTTATAAGACTTCAAAACTTTTTGTATTTGTTGCCAATATTTAAAACTTGGAACATAGGCTGGGCGAGGTGGCTCATGCCTATAATCCCAGCACTTTGGGAGGCCGAGGCAGGTGGGTCACCTGAGGTCAGGAATTCAAGACCAGCCTGGCTGACAAGGCGAAACTCCATCTCTACTAAAAAAAAAAAAAAAAAAAAAATACAAAAATTAGCCGGGAGTGTGGCGCACGCCTGTAATCCCAGCTACTCGGGAGGCTGAAGGAAGAGAACTGCTTGAACCTGGGAGGCAGAGGTTGCAGTGAGCCGAGATTGCGCCATTGCACTCCAGCTTGAGCAACAAAAGAGTGAAGTTCTGTCTCAAAAAAGAAAAACTTGGGACATTGCATATAAAAATACCTAGTTTTGTGGGTGGAGGATGGGGCATGCCGTCATCTCGCGTCTGCTGCGGTTCACCCCCAAGTCTGCTGCAGCTCACCCCCAACACCTTTAGCCCCTCCCCCGCCCTTCCCATCCCCCACTGCCTTTCACTCAGAAAAGACACCTGCCCGGTGCTGGTCCGGGCAGGCATGTGAGTTTGTAGCCTCTGCCCCAAAGGATGGTTTACACATTATTTTTTTCATTACCTTCAGTATTCCTGTGAATGGTTCAAGAGAGAAAGTCTTTGTTTACTAAGATTTGGGTTCTGCCTCCCAAGTGACAATACAGGGCTGAGATCCATCTCAGCTTCCGTGAGATGTGGCCACCATAAGCACCATCGTTGTAGGGACAGTCTCATTGCTGTCTTCTAGCAGACAGAAGAGTTAGGTGCCAGAAAGGACGATCTTGATGGTGGGGCCCTTCCTTGAGGGACTTTAAGGCATAAAGGTTGGGGTGGGGGTGGTGTGTGAAGGAGGAGGCCCTGGATTAGGTCAGTGGTCCCTGGGAGCCATCGGCGAGAAGCTTCCAGCCAGGTGACAGTCTGGGCTCTCAGGTACTAATCTTCCTAATATGGCAGTGGTTGTGCCACTTCTGACTTGAATTGATAATTCCCATGTCTAATAAAACCAAGAAGTACCTCACTGATATCTTATTGCAAACAGAATGGATCTTCTTTATTCTCGCAAAGGGCTCCTTGCCAGGGCCCTTGAGAGTAGGGACACTTAGCAAATGGAAGTATGTGGCCTGAAAGCCTCCCAGCCTCCGCCCTGAGTGACATCTCCCCTGCCCTACCAGCTGGGATTGGAAAACATGTAGCTGGAAAGCTTAAGTGTATAGTTTAAAAAGGGTTTTTAAATTTTTATAGGGACAGGGTCTCACTACATTTCCCAGGCTGGTTTCAAACTCCTGGGTTCAAGTGATCCTCCCATCTAGGCCTCCTAAAGTGCTGAGATGACAGATGTGAGCCACTGTACCTGGCCGGATTTTTAAAAAGATAGCATTCAGCTTAGTATATAATGGTGTGTGTGTGAGCGTGTGAGCACACACATGCATGTTTAACCAGCGCTAAAACAACCTCAGCTGAGTCTCAGAGAATGCTTTGTACTATTTAGGTCACATTTTTTCTCCTCTCACAGTGTTCATCTCCAAAACTTAGTGCACAAGAGTCCCTTGGTTGTCAAATCAAAAACTGAAGACAAGTCTGCAAAGGGGCCAGGAGCTGAGGCCCCGACCCTTTGATCTGAATGAGCGCCCCTCACCCGGGCAGAGAACGTGGATTCAGCCTTGCTGGAGAAGGCGAACGACTGCCGAGTTAACTTGAAGGCAGCCTGTACTTTAAAATGTAGCAAAGCAAAGCTGCAGGTTTACTCCCTGGGGTCAGGAGGCCTGGACTTTGCCCTGTTTGTATGGCAAACACAGCCAGCCCAGGGATGAGTAGAGGAAGCTGGCTGCTTCTTTCCAAGGGCTGCATAACTGCTTCTGAGCTGGTTTCGTGTGTTAGTGGATCAAGGATTGGGACAAACGTGGAACTTGGCCTGGGCAGCCTGCCACTCGGTAACCCTGGAGCTCAGGAAGAAATGGGGAGCAGGGCAGGGTGGATAGCCAGGATCCTGCATGGACCCTTCAGACACCTTTGGCCTGAGCCAGCGCCCTTTGGGTCCCTTATGTTTGGGGCAGCCTGATTGGGACAGGAGGCAGAGATGGCCCTACTGGGCCATGCCATGGTTCGCACCGTAGTAGGGGATGTGGGGTAGCTCAGGTCCAAAGCAGGGCTGGGCGCTGAGGCCACTGTGGGGCTGGTGGCTTTGGCAAGGGTGAGAAACCTCTCTGGTGTCCTCCCTGGGCTCCCCAGCCCTAGCTGGGGCTCCTGACACAAATGCAGGCCGAGGACTGCCTGCTTCTTGACCAGTGAAATTCACACACCCTCACTGAAAGCTTGTTGCTATCCTAGTCTGCACTTAGAGTAATTAAGTGCCTCTTAGTCCTGTGACCATGCCTACTTTGAAGTCCTGGTTGCAGAAACTTAGTCTCTGTCTTGTAGCCCTGAGTTCCTCCTCTTCCTCACCAGTTAACAATATCTCACAGCAGGGTGTTATCTTGAATCATTACCCCAAGCCCAGCCTAAGCTCACCCTAACCACCACTGTGCCAGGTGTATCACTGGCTCCAGAACTCTGGCGCTAGGCTAGCCCCCGCCCCCAGCCCCTTGCTCCTGGACAGGAGTGGATCTCACCTTGAGCCTCTGCCCCCGGTTCTCGTCTGACCCAGCACATGGCAGCTCCAAAGAGCAGACAAGACCTTGAAGCAAGGCCAAAGGGCCAGGCCTGAATGGGAAAGGGATGAAGGCCCAGTAGAGGGTCTAAGCCAGCTCTAAGAGGAATCTAACACAAGCACATAGGTAGATAAAATTAATTTTAACAATACATTTCATTTAGCCCAATATATAAAATATTATTTCAACTGTAAATTATCAAGACTTTTTTTTGAGATGGGGGTCCCGCTCTTGTCGCCCAGGCTGGAGTGCAATGGCGCGATCTCAGCTCACTGCAACCCCTGCCTCCTGGGTTCAAGTGATTCTCCTGCCTCAGCCTCTTGAATAGCTCGTACTACAGATATGTACCACCACGCCTAGCTAATTTTTTGGATTTTTAGTAGAGATGGGGTTTCACCGTGTTGGCCAAGCTGGTCTCGATCTCCTGGCCTCACGATCCACCCGCCTCAGCCTCCCAAAGTGCTGGGATTACAGGTGTGAGCCACCATGCCCAGCATATCGAGACATTTTGCACTCTGTTTTGCATATTGTCTTTGAATCCTATGAGAAGTTTACACTTCCAGCCCAATTCAGATACTACATTTTCATCAGAAAAACCTGATCTGTATTTAGATTTCATTATACATACAGTTGTAAACATTCACATCCTCAAATTGTTTCAGATATACTCAAAGGTTTTACGGTTACGGAATTAGTATCTATTTTTAAATTTTCATTAATTAAGAAAGCATTTCCTCAGTTGCAGTAGCCACATTTCAGCTGCTCAATAGCACCTACGGCTTGTGGCTACAGTATTGGACAGCACCCCTCAAGAACAGGGGAAACAGGCGGTGCGCAGTGGCTCAGCCTGTAATCCCAGCACTTTGGGAGGCTAAACCGGGCAGATCACGAGGTCAGGAGATGGAGACCATCCTGGCCAACATGGTGCAACCCCATCCCTACTGAAAATACACAAATTAGCGGGGGTTGGTGGCGCGCACCTGTAATCCCAGCTACTCAGGAGGCTGAGGCAGGAGAATCGCTTGAACCTGGGAGGCAGAGGTTGCAGTGAACCGAGCTCACGCCACTGCACTCCAGCCTGGGCAAGAGACAGAGACTTCAGCTGAAAAAAAAAAAAAAGAAAAGAAAAAAACGGGAAACAGGCGAGAGGCCTGTCCTGGGGATTCATTGTGATTTCTGCGGCAGTTGCCTCCCCTGTTACCCAGAGCTGGCTGGTCATCCTGACCCATGGGCAAGGCAGGACAGCAGCTTCCAGCATTCGGTTTGTGCAGGGCAGGCAGCCTTCCAATTGCCCAAAATATGCGCCCTCCTGGACACCATCCTTGGAAGAGAACCCAGTTCCTCTGATAGCTTCACCGATCCTCTCGTGTCTCAGTCCACCCAGACCAATGCCAGCCTTGGTGAGGCGTTTCCCTCTGACCACGCATCCACCCGTGGGAGGCCAGTGTCACCTGGCTGCGTTTCGCATCTCTGCTCCCATGAATAAATGCTTTTACTCTAGTGGTGGGCGTGTCGTACGTGAAACAGCCGCCAGCCTCAGGCCGAGTAGCCGCAAGATCTGTGGGTATTGAGCGCCGCGCGGCGGGTCCCGGCGGCCCTGGGACCCAGCAGCCCTTTTCCTTTTGCAGGAGAGGTCGGGCTCGGGGACTCCCGCGGCCACAGCGCCGCGCTGCGAAGGGGCAGAGCAGGGATTTGGTTTCCGGCGTCCCGGGCTTTCCACCTTATCTCCGTGCAGCTCAAGAGGCAGTTGAGCTCGATTCTGGAGGGGTGAACCGAGCCGGTCTAAAACCCGGGGATCTGAATGTCCGCAGGCTGCGCGGGGCGCTGGGGGCGGTCACGGCTTCCTCCCGAGCGCCCGCCTCCCAGGAGGCGTTGCGCCCCCTAGCGGGCGCCGCGGACACACGCGCTGGGCAGCTGGGAAACCAAGGTGGCCTCGCGGGGAAAGAGAGCGCCTAACCCGGGGCCAGGCACCGCCACGGTTTCCTTCCTTCGCCCTGACAAGGCCCCCAGCCCAGCCGATACCTGCTTGAGACCCCAGCTGACCTCAACTGGGCTTCGAGAAGTTTTGCCTCACTCAACTTTGGAGGGAGATTGTTTCTAAACCGAGCACATCCTGAGAATTCTCTCTGTGATTTCACTATGCCCTAAAAAATAGAGCTCATTTTAGAGTTTTGGACAGGGCAGGGGTTTCAGAACCGTAGGTCGGAGTTCTTGCCCTGTGCCAGTAACTAACTGATCAGTTCAACTGATCATCCAAGAAACATTTATTGAGCACCTGTTATGTGTCCAATACTGTGCCAGTTACTCGAGGGGACAGTGAGGTGAACTACTCAAGGTGCGGTCTTGCTCTTGAGTAGTTCCTTGTCCAGTTGGGACTCGGGCAAGGAGATGTGATGCCAGCTGTGTGGGGTAAAGGCTTTAAGGGAGCACTTGGTGGGCTGGGCCAAGAAAAGCTTCCTGGAGGAGGTGCCACTTGACTGAGACTCAAAACAAGTGATGTCGGCCTGGAGTGTGGGGAGGGGGCCTTGACGGCAGAGGCATGAGCAGGTACAAAGGTCAGCCACAAGGTACATGGCCACGTGGCCACTCTGGGACCTTCAGGGGTTCAGGATGGCTGGAGTGTGGCACGCCAGAGCCACATGCGAGCCACACAAAGACGGTCCCACCTTCCTGGAGGAGAAAGCCGTGCTCCTGTTGGTTCTGATCATGCTTCTGGCTGGCTGTGAAGAGTGTACCGGAGGCTTCTGGGACGGAAAACAGGAAGCCAAGGCTGCGGGAGGCTGTTGTAGTCTAGAAAGAAGAGGGGGGTACAATTGTTGTGTAATGGAGTGAGGATGAGAGCTGGTCAGTGTGAGGGATGAAAGAGAGATCTGGTGCTGACTGCTGCCGGGGAAGAGAAGACAGTTTTCTGCTGCAGTGGCTGATGGATGCCCTTCACCCACACTGAGATCAAGGAAGGAAACACACAACCGTGGGGCAACGTGCAGGTCACTGAGTTGAAGAATCCTGTGAATCCACCAAGCAAAGATGCCCGGGAGGTGTGTGAGTCTGTGCTCAGGAGAGAGGGCAGGTGGTAGAGACACGTTTTATCAGCCATCACCTTGTGCATAGCAGCCAATGGCATTTCACTCTTACAGGAGGCCCAGGGAGTGAGAAGAAGGCTGTGGACAGAAACACAGATGAAAGAAGCATAAGAATAGAGTCCAAGATGGGGATTGAAGGTTTTAAGGAGCAGAAGTGATCAGAGTTGAGTTTCTAAAAGATTGCTCTGGCGAAAGAATGCAGAATGGACTGGAGAGGGAGAAGTCACAGGCATAGGACAGTCACCCAGGAGGGAGAACAGAGTCCCCCAGGGGGAGGAGCCTGGTGTCTGT